TGTGGGTGAGTGGTTACTTATAGAAGCACAAAGGACTCAATTACAGCTGCATCACCTTGTGAGGGTGATGTCTAATGATGCTGGAAGCAAGGGAATCACTGCAAAGCTCAAAGGAGGTTGGACATGTCTTTCAAGTCACTCATTACCTCCTCCAGGCAGCTTGACTGTGTCTGCTTCATGGCTGGTCTGAGCATCTTCTCTGCAGGTCAGCTTGTCTGACAGTGTCAGCAGTCCTTACTGATTATGCATGCTTGAGGCAGGACCTCCCTAGTAAATCTTGCCAGTTTCTGCAACTTCCTCAATCTTTTGTCTATTTCTTTTTTGTTTGTTTGTTTTGTTTTTGTTTTTTGAGACAGGGTTTCTCTATGAAGCTTTGTGACTTTCCTAGAACTCACTTGGTAGCCCAGGCTGGCCTCAAACTCACAGAGATTCGCCTGGCTCTGTCTCCCGAGTGCTGGGATTAAAGGTGTGCGCCACCACTGCCTGGCTTGTGTCTACTTCTAAGCTTTGGGAGATTCCCTGTTTTACTGATTGTATCACCTCACATAGAGAATTGTTCTTTTACCTGTCTGTTAATATCCAGCGTTTTAAGGAGTTTTTTCCAAGATGGAGGTGTTTAATCTCAGAAAAAAACTGTAACCACTCCTGAGCATGAACTCTAAGGACTGCCATCTTACCAGTGAGCATTTGCCCATCATGTTCATTGCTGCTTTACTGACAGTATCTAGATATGCAACCACCCCAGATGTCCATCAACTGATCATGGGTAAATTAAAATGTGATAGACATCTACAAATGTCTATTACTTAGCTGTAAATAAAAATCAGAGTGTGAAATTTAGATTTAAATGTAGGCAACAAGACAATATGATGAGTGATGTCACTTAGTCCCCAAAGGTCAAACCTGACATGTTCTCTTCCAAATGTGGGCCATAGTTTCAAATTTTGTGTGTGTGTGTGTGTGTGTTAGTAAGACTATGTGTAGAAGCCAGGAAGCTATACATGAATCATTAGTAGGGAGATGCAAGGAGAGGATGCATAGTAGAATATAGGCGATATGAAATTAGAGAGTGGGTATTATGGGGGCAGAATGGTTCAAGTATTTAGTGGTGTGGTGGCAAGAGTGGGAGCTGTTGAAAGGTCAACTCAAGTGAGATGTCCATGAAGAAACTACATGGGAATCTATTATCGAGGACTATGGGGGTCCAGCCCCTCAATAGTCCCCTCCCAGGGTCCGGGAAGAATCTACAACCAGCTGATAATTAATCTTTGATGAAAAGAAATGAATCTATGTACACAAAACTCCTTAGTCCATATACTTTATTATTCTGTGACAGTTATAAGCTTATATTCTGCTCTCATATTTAGGTCATCTTTAGCCTG